TTCCAATTAACCTTTACAAGATAAATTTGGCTTTTTAAAAAATTTTCACTCTTATGGCTCCATTCGTGTCTTGTTAACTTACGGTAGCTCTCTCTGCCATCATGAACGAAGCTTACTAACAAACACAGATGTCTTTAAATCGGCTCCAACAATCACTGTTTCCTGCAGAAACTAAACGAAAGTGTTGGGCTGATTTCCTTTGGGGTTTCGACTCAAACTCGACAGCCTACACAACTCCAGAACCTGATTAACATTTGTCGACCCTACGAAGCCAAACACATCAGTTTTGAAACACGTTTTTCAGATCCCACTTCAAAATAAGCACTTTCCTCAAAAACCTACAGTGGTGGAGAACATAGTTAAACACTACTTAAGACAAAAAAATACAAATAAACAGACAAAAATATTCTCCCTGACTCCTCAGTAACATTTTTATTTGAATTAAAGTAAATACTTTCTTTTATAAATACATAAAGGAGGTCTATTGGGCTTCCGTGAACAGAATAGGATATTTTTATGGGCCATACACAACATGTTCATGACATTGTTTTCATTAATAAAAGGCATTTTACAACACATAGAAACGGTGAAAGTTCCGGAACTCAGCTGGGGTTGCTAAGTGACGGGGCGGGGCTTATCTGGGGTTGCTAGGTAACGGGCTGGGCTTTCCAGGCGTTGCTAGGTGTAAGTGCGGCGCCTGCTGATTTGTGATGTTACATCCTGAAGGTTTTGTTTGGACTCTTTTTAGAAGCAGCAGAAACACAAATGGAAAATACTTTGAAGTATCAAAATTAAAAATAATGCCAAAGTCTAGAATGCCATGAAGTGTGAATACATATGAATGTTTTCTTCAACACGTCGATGGTGGTGTGCCATTTTAATGAACAATGCTGCAGATAATGCATGTTTTTATTGCATTTACACTCTGTGACACAGTTTGCACTTGTGATTCTGTGCAACAGATTTTCAGGGATGACCTACAGAGTAGGTAATTTTAACTGCAGTAAATAAATTCAGGTAAAAGTTGTGTCTGAAAAAATATGTTTTAGAGAATGTTTCTCCAAAACAAGGCAACCACGCTAGCCTAAAATCTCTAAAAGTTTATTTAGGCAAAAAAAAAAATTCACAGAGCTAGAATTTTTGTCAAAGTGAATAAAATTATGAATACTTCTTACTGCCAGTAGGTTTCACTCAAAAGCCTTCAGGTATTTGCTAAAATTCTAAAGGTAACTGTATATTTTTGGCATCACTGTGATTCCGTACATAGAGGCCAACAAAAGAATAGCTCATCAAATGAAAATGTGACTGCGGATAAGAGATTCCCTCACAATCTGTGTAACTTCTGCAAGTGGAAGTGTACAGAAATGTTTATGAAACAGTTCTAATTTTAAAACTTTATGCAATTTTCTGACTCCTATTTGCTGTATCAACGTTTTGAGGGCTCGTCTGCTCACTCACAGTTTATTTATGGCAACGTTTTGTTGTGTGAAATGAAAAAAAGTCTTTCTTTGATCTGTTTTCCATTTTCTCCAAGTTCTTGGGCTCTTGTTTCAAAGAGTTCAGGGGGTCAGGTATAAATCACTCCAACAGAAAGCTTTTAAACAGGAGCAATGCAGAGCTGGTGAACAAACAGAGTTATTAATCTTTTAGGGGATCACATCTATTTTCTCCCTGCAGCGCACTCAGAAGTGCATTCATAAATGCTGAAACGGTGCACACATCCAGGCGCTGACCTTTCCCATCCTTTTGTTGTGTTTTACACCGAGCAGTAAAGATAAAATGACAGAAACGCGCATAAAACGAGCTTCTCCAGCTACAAAAACCCATCCGAAGTGCTCTTTTAGTTGAGAGCCGGGGAGTTTTCCCACTTTCCCTTTCCATCTTAAGGGATTAGAAGCAGCCAAACAGAACAGCAATACCTTCACTTTCCTTTCCTCCACTTCCAGCAGTTTCACACCTGAGCAACGTCAGCAGTGGATCTCAAAGAGCCCAAGTTGTCTCCTCACCTGACGGCTCATTCGTTCATAAGCTTCCAGGCTCGTCTTTCCTCCCTCACCCGATTCTGCTCATCCTCTGTGTCGAGCATAACAACAGAAAATCCTTCTCCCTCTTACAAGCCACGGTCTATAAGTTTGGATCACTTTAATCCCTGAAGAAAAAAAAAATCTTTCATTTAACAAATCACCCCCTCCCTTAGAAATCCGGATCCCTGTGTAATTATTCCTCCGATGTGAGCCAGCCGAGAGAAGAGTACTTGACTGGAAGCTGCATTAAGTCTCAAAGCCTCCTCCAGTGTCCTTCCTATCAACTAATGGAAGAGGCCTTTCGCTACAGGGAATTTCAACAGCCTCCTGCTGCCAGTAACTCTCATCTAGGGTCATTGAGCAAAACCAGTTGGCTAAAGGAGATGCATGTTATTATTGGTACATCATCAATATACTTTCACCTCTAATATAGCTTGCTAGTATCAAGATGGCACTGCTTTTAAGGTTATTTTCACACCTGATAGTTCGGTAGCTCTTGGTTCGATTTGGGACCAAAATTGCAGCATTGTTGCATTTTCAGCTGGTCTGGTTCACATTCACAGTGCACTCAATGAGTCGAGCCAAACTCTTTGAGAATCCTGTTCACCTCCTTGCCTGTGGGGGCGCTGCACCGAGAACCACTGGAGGAAATGCTGAACTTCTTGTTTCATAAAATGTGAACAAATGTGGAGTCTCTGGTAAAATATTAGGGCGTTACTAAGAACAAATAAAATTACAAGAACAAATCATAAAATTACAAGAATAAAGTTGAAATAGTTTGACTTTATTCCTTTGATTTACATTTTTCATTTACTTAGCATAGCCCTAGTAATTTGTCGCGTGTTAGCGTTGGGCTCTCATGTTTGTTTTGGTTCCGTTTACCCAGAATGCCCTGCGTTTTAGTTCATTTCCGACTTTTGGAGTGGATTTCAGTCCCATTTGCATCCACACTGGCATTCAAATCACACTTCACTTCAATCGAACAGAGGCAGACCAGAGTTCACATATTAGGTTTGCATCAGAGCTGAACAAACTGGACTTTCTGAAAAACGGACTAGAGTTCGATTAAAGTGGACCAAACAGGGCTGGTGTGCACTCACTACCAGACTCCATTCAATATTGGTGAGAAGTAAAATGATGGATGTTTTCTTTTGTGTTAGTGCCAAGACTGTTTCCACTGTGCATTCTGATGAATATTAGGGAAAATCTGGTGTTTTAACTATTAAGATAAGCAGTTCTAAGTGTTTTTAGAGGGGAATTTAAGATATTTAAGGGTCTCAGGTATTCGCAAAAGGTTTGGTGGCAGAGAGAGGACTGACACCAAACCCGCAGAACGGCGCCATGTTTGTTATTCTTGAAAGTGAGGCTCATTCTAGGTAAAGACAGAGGTGGAGCTTCAAGGTCATCGTTTAAAAAATGACTCAAAATCGAATGGCGACACGGAAACATGAACGTTCAGAAATGAATCCTGTCTGGAACCCAAGCTTAAAGATTATTGTTTCTGAACTGCCAAGACTCTGAATCTGTACGTATGCGCTGCTTAAACGACAAAAACTGTTGAGCAGAAATGCGCTGCCACACGTGTTAAGAAGGTTCACAGAAAATGTTAAAGCTTGACGATGTAATTAGGGGTTTTCGGAAGAGTTAACCACCTCCTTAAAAAAGACAAACCCAATAAAATATACGCTATGTAATTCTGCTCACGTGTAAGACATAAAAAGTAAAGAAATATTACATTTTTCTGTGCATTTTCCTAAATCTGAATATTTTACTTAGTAACATCTGCTGCTTGATAACAGTATTTTTTTTAGCTGGTTGTGAATGGTTGTTATAATTGAACTATTTACAAGGAGAACTCTGATTGGATGAAAACGATTTGTCTGTTTGGTTTGGTTTACAAAGACTTTGTGTGAACAGTCTTTTCTTTTTTAATGCACAAATCCACATTTTGTAAGGTTTTAAAATTATTCCTCTCAACTGCACATTCCTTTGGATCAGAGTATTTTTATTTTAATACCTGCAAATTATTTGATGTTGTAGAGGACGGTGATTCAATGCATCAATTATAATCCTAACTTAACCCGTCTTTGCTATCAAAGTAAAAAAAGTATTTAAAATGATAAATAAATAAATGAAATTTAGCCTGGTGGGGGGATTAAAGCCTGGTGGGCTGCCAGGCTTACAATACACTGGAGGGAAATCTGGATTACACCAAAAAAGTGAGTGAAAACGCAAAGGTTTTGTAATTTTTGAGGACTCAAACACATGCAGGAGGTAGGCAGGATTACTTTTAGGCGATCAGAAGGAGTAAACCGTATCATCGCTTTCTGAAAAGCAGAGCTGAAATACTACAAGCAGTGTCTCCTGGAGTGAGCCGGTGAGTGTGAACTAAATGCTCTGCAGCTGCGAGAGGAGCACTGCTGGATCAGCAGAGGAAAAATGACTAATTGTTACGGAATGGATAAACAAGAGCGAGGGCAATAGATCAAAATAACAAAACATAATGAAAACAAAGGAATCCACTCAAACTGGAAACTCAAATTTCTGTGAATCCTGACACAATGCAAACATTCTGGTTCATACTAGACGTCCAAATGCACTGATTGGTTAATCCTGAATGATAAATCCTCCTAATTCCACCACAGGAAATAATAATACCAGCAGTTATTTCTGAAAGGATTCATCCAGGGAGTTAATTCAGCATTTCTTTTCTTTTTTGAAGCCCTAATGGAGTAATGTGATCTACTCTGCAACATCTGCTCAGATCCATCTTCAGCTTCCAGAACAAGTACAGCAGCTCAGCTGGATCACGTTTGCATGTCAGAGTGGAGACTCCGCTCACACAGGGAGCTTAAAACAAAAAGAGGTTGCCTAGGTGAGCAACTTCATGGTGATTTCCTCTAATGGAAACCAGTGTTCCCAGTCCACGGCCAGCTGAAAGGAAGGAGTTTGTGTTGAAACACACAGCAGACTCACCAAAGAACATGCTGCTCTCCATGTCTCCTCAGGCTCTGGGGTTCGCTGTATTTCCTGCCAGTGTGTGTGTTTCCATGGGCAGCAGCGTGTGCATGCCTCACACACTCCTCAGAGGTGTGTGTGTCCGTGCATGTGGGTGTGTGTGTGAGAGAGTGTGTGTGTCAGTGACCAGCCTGCATTCTGCGCTCTGTCTGCTGCGTCTCTGTCTCTCCTCACTCTGGTACTCCCTTCGTTCCTCCCCTCCTCTTTAGCTCGTCCTCCTCCCTCTCTCTCTCTCTCTCTCTCTGATTCCTTTGCTTTTTCTCTTTTCGCTCTCCAGGGTGTCTCTCTACATTTTCCAGCAAGTCTCTCTTTCTGCTTGTCTCGTCCTTGTTTTATGTCACCCAAAACACTTCTTATCTTCGGCTTTTTTCCCCTCAGGATTCTGAATTTTTTTCTCATAAATTGCTGCTTTTTTAGATAGTTATCACTGGTGTTTTATGCTGATATACTGAGAATATATACATCCTTCAATTATATTTTTAAAAAAGTAGGGATGCACGATATTGGATTTTTGGTCAATATCCAATATGCCGATATACTAAAACTCATTTAGCCAATAACCAAAACCGATATTCTTTTCTTATACCTACTTACTGAAACTACATGTTTTTTTTTTACTGTGGAGTCAAAGTAATGCATTATTTTGATCAGTTTAGCCTGATAAAAGGAGGCTGAAAACGATGCAGCGACTTCACCTGGCATTATGTTCAATGTTAAACTTATTCATGACATCTGGTCTCTCTGAGACGATGACAACACTCACAGTGCAGATTTATAAATCTTCATAAAACTGAACTCAACCTGTTCACAAGCAACAAGTGAGAAGCACAGCAGTCGTAAATTAATACTTAACAGTTTCTGATGACGTTGTGCTGCAGGCATCATTGTCACTGGTTTGTCATATAAAAACGCCTTTTATAACCTGAGTTATTCTGACGGAATGGCTGATGTCCGATATATACTTTTACGGCTGATATTTTACAGCAGTGGATTAAAAAAAAAATGCTTTTTTTTCTCAGAATTTTTTTTGAATCCTGATTTTTTTTTCTCAGAATTCAGATTTTTTCTCAGAACTCTGATTTTTTTTCCCCCTCAGAATTCTGAGTTTCTGTTTCTTTTTTTTTTTTGCCACTCTAACTCTAACACTGGTGTGCCATGTCTTTATACGATGAATATAAAAACATATTCTTAAATAATGTTTATATAAAAATCTTTTTTCTCAAAATGTTGACTTTGTTCTCAGAATTCTGAAGTTTTTGTAAAAAATTTGGCTCTTTAGATTGTTCACATTAGTTTCATATTGTCATAATATGAATATTCAGATTTTTAAATAAATTATGTGTAAAAAATGCTTCTCAAAATTTTGAGGTTTTTTTCAGAATCCTGTGGGGATTTTTTTTTTCTTTCTTAGATAGCAATGTTTATAAAAACTATTTGTTTTTTTTCTCATAATTCGGACTTTTGTCTATTTCTGTCAATCTACGTCAAAATCCAAGTAAATACCCAAACTGGTTGATCCATTCTTAGGTGTATGTCAATTACTGAGTGAGTATATGAAAACGATCACATAATTATTTCTTCCTTTCTGGCTTCTTTTTTTTTTTTTTTTTTTTTAGAAAAAACTGAGATTAATCTCAAAATTTCTGAGAATTTACAGAAAATTTACTCCTTTTTTCTTCTGTCAACAATGGACCCAATACATCATCAAACAATTATACAATTGTCATTTATTGACAATTATGTTGTCACTAAGTGTAAGTGATCACATCAACATGTGCTTTTTGTAATAGGATTTGTAAACCTGCACTTCAGTAGATTTGAGTTTTCAAACTGATGGCACAGAAATAATTGGATCAATTCTGATTCTGAGAAAAAAATCAGAAATCTGATAAATTATAAGTTCAAATGTTTTGTTCCTCTGGTAGATTATTTTGCGATGTTATTTTGCGATGTTGTGATATTGATTTAAGTTTGAATAATCGTGGTTTTTAATAAAGAAGTTGGTAATTAAGGAGAATGTTGGGAACAGAATTGGAAAATCGAACTACTAGTGACTGAACTGGGAAGTTTATACACTGGAGAGGTGATTAAATAATCCCTGTGCCTCAGTTTCCTACTGAAGGAAACTGAGGCACAGGGGGACAAAAACTGTAAAATATGTAAAAAAAAAAAAAAACAACTAAAACAAACAAAAAAACAAATAGAGAACAAACTCAAACTAAACTCAATGTTTTAGAAAACTAATAAATACTAGTGCATGTATTTGAGCCTCTATGTATAATTGTGATCATGTGTGGAATAGAAAAAATCTCAAATTTAAATAAAAATAAACAAACCAAATAAAAATAAAACACTTTAAATGCAACCATGGACTCCAAGTTAAAGGCATGTTTTCACAATAACAAACATCAATATTATATTTACAACCAACCATTCCTCTCCTCCTCTGCGGGGCGATTTTGGCATCTTTTTGGGTTTTGCAGCTGCAGATTTACAATGTTGGCTCAATTTCACCATTATTCTTGCTTATAAAGCCTCTAACGCAACAATGGGAGCAAAATGAAAAATATGCTGCTGTATTTTGAATTACTGGTTGTGCAACAGAAATTTTATAATGTCGTTTAAAGACTAATAATTCACTTTTTTGTTTGTTTCACTTCTCGGGGTTAAACAGAAATCTGACCTAGATTAAAACATCAGTCTCCCCACATGTTTGTTTTAATGTTTGACTTAAACTTGATTTTGACTAAATATCTAAAACTTTACTTTTGGTCTGATTTTCTTGCATTGTTTGAGGTCTGAAAGCTCTGCATCATTTTCATTATTTTGATCATAAACACATTTTTGCGTGGAAATTCAGAGACATGTTGAATTTGTGCTGCTAGCTCTGCTAGCTAACCGTCTCTACAGAAATCTCCCAGCATGCCCGCCTATGTGAAGCGGGCATAACTTTTAAAAATAAACGACTTTCAAGTCGCCTCACTTTGTGTTTGCTCAAGTCTTACTCAGCATCGGCGCTCGGCTTTTTTCAGTGGAGCAAATTACTGCTTTGCGTAACGATCTTTCCTTTTTCTGGCTCCTGTTCGGTTGTCACAATGACACAGCTGTCCGAAGGGAACGCAGTTGAGAATTTAATTACAGATACCAGCTTGATTATTAGCTTGATGTTAGAGAAAACTGATTATAGTATTAGAGTGACAGTAACACAGTAAGTGCACTGATTTAATCAGCCTTTTTGTCTTCTGTCACCCCTTGTGGATGACACACTTTTATTTTCTCTTGAACGCTCACCCTCTCTGTCCCAGAATGCCTTTTGTTGTTGGATTTCACTCCCATCTGTCTTGTTTTTCTTTCACTTTGTCACTCTCTTTTCATAATTTTTGCTTTTCCCCCACCTTTTGCCTGGCTGTAATCAAACTCAACAGGCACAAATATCAGACTGCAGCTATGAGACACGGCTGCTCGCTTTTATCTCGAGTCTTCACAAACACACAAAGGCTCGCAGCATCTTTAGTCACAAAACAAGCCTTGTGCGTCAACTACACACGCTCGTATCTGCAGAGAAAAAGCTCCAGAGACACCTACAGCAGACTGCTCTGAGAAACACAAACACGCGCAGATACAAACACAGATGACATGTTCATCGAAACAAATTTATACAACAAACATGCGGGAAAATTCATGCCGACAGAAAGATGCTTATGTAACAGAGAGATACATATAAATAACAATGTTAACATCAGTCAAACTGCGAAGGTTTCGAAGAAATTCTGGTGGAGCGCTCAAACCGTTAAAGGTTAAAGAAAACACAAACATTCTGTCAAACATCCATTTTATACCAAAACGTCTACACCCATAAATTCAGATTACCACACTGCAAAAACATAAAGCTATATGGTAAAAGTAAAATAAGATAATACAACTGTACATCTTTGAAAAACATTAGTAGGGCCTTCTGTACAACTAACAAGAACATAGCAAGTGTTTTCTGGATGGTAGGTCAACCACCAAACGTTTTCTCAGCTTCGGCTACAATAAGATTTTACAATTTAGAAGTGGATTTATTGACCCGATCTTTGCACTGTAAAAACATAAAATCCTACCTCGTAATTTAGGTTTATTTTATAGGCCAAATGTCGTTAATGCTTACTACACTTGAAATAATACGAAACTAATTTAAAAGTACATTTTCAGCAAGTTACAAGAGGTTTTTATAAGGCAATGCTTCCTTAATGTACAAAGCTTTTTGTTTTGTTGGCAGATTATTTCACTTTTAAATGGGAAACATGTTTTGTAAGAAGTGAAATAATCTGACAATGAAGCAGAGTTCAAGCACAAACTTAACAAAACTCCAGGCAGTCAGATTTAAACAATATTTGAAAATGTTCTGGACTTTTGTTAAGGCAGTTTTTCTCAGTTCGTTCTTTTTGTTAGCTGCAGTAAAAAAGAAAAGACTTTTGTACGGCGCCCCCTACAGGACATTGACTTTTTTTTCTTTTCTTTTACCTGGCAATAAATTAGCAAACACACCTGATGTATGTTGCATACAGTCACAAATGTCAATTTAAAATTAAATCAGTGAAAACGTGTTTACATATTTTTTACTTTTTGGTGAAAAAACTGATTAAAAAATTAATTTATTTTCCATATTTTTGTCTGTTTGTGTAAGGATGAGTTGGACCTCCATTAACTTTACAGACTACACTAACGAGACACAATCAAACTGTCATATGACTTTATTACCCTGTAATAATAACTCAGAAATAGTCCAAATGCTTTGGATGTATTTTTTTCTTTCTTGCATAAAGTTTGTTCATATGTTGGAAGGAAAGAGATGGAAAGCCCCTGTTTTGCTTTTGCATTTTGCACATAGGTTTGTCGTGCATTTCTATCCCAAAGAAAAAGATATAAAACTTCAGACATCAAGCTATTAATATAGATGTAAAGTTTACAAAAGGCTTATTTTATAGCAAAAATTACAGCGGCCATCATAAGAAAGACTTTCAGTTTTGCCATGTGAACTGATCAGTACATTGTGTTATAAAAAAAAAAAAAAAAACATCCTCCATGTCCCTCAGGGGCCTCCGTACTTTTGTTTGTGTGTTTCGTTGCACCTGTTGCTGTTTTTGCCGCCGAACAGAAGAACGTCAGCATGTGTTTA